CTCACGTTGCGTCTGATGCTCCCCCTGCCCCACATATGTCCAGTCTCGCCCCGTCCCTGCCCTGTGCTGCCCCAGCCAGCCCTGCGCCTGTTTTAAGCAGTGCAGGGACAGGCAGGAGCAGCAGGCTGCCGCCTGGCCCAGGAGCCAGCTGAGGGCAGTGATGCTGTCTAGTGCCACAGGCACCAGGCTCCTGTGTCCCCAGGGAGCTGGTCCCAGACTCCTGCATCCCCATGGGGACCCCATGCTCCTAAAGCCAGGGTCTGCTTGCAGTAGGGTCTGAGTGGAGGGTGATGCCCAGGGCTTGGAGTGCTGGGGGAGCTGTGAAAGTGCCCCCATGCTGCCTCCTGCTCAGGCACCTGCTGTCAAGGAGGACCCTGCAGCAGGGAGAGCCGGGGAGGTCTTGATTGCCCATTGCCTGCTGGAGCACTCCTTCCTCAACAAGAGCAGAGCAGGATACGAGGCTGTACAGCTGGACTGGTTATTGGAGGGACGGGGAGAGAGGAGAGGGGACCATGTCTCCCTTTGTGAGCCCCCATAAGCCCTAATAGGTTCTGGGACTTGCTCCCTTGTGCTTGGATGGAATTACCTTTCCTGTGAGTTCCTGCCCGGTAGAGCCAGGCTGCGGGGACTCTTGGGAGGGGATTGCTTGAGGAATTAACCACCTCTCAGCCGTTAAGCTTCCCCCTCCTTGCACGTGGTGTTGGAGAGGATTCAGTCTCCCAGCCTGGTGTGTGCACACACGTGCTGGGGGGGAACGTTCTGTGTTCTCCTCCCACAAGCATCTCAACACATGACAGGTCCTGGCCTCGTGGCCGGAGGTGGCAGTGGCTGCAAAAAAGCAGGCCCCCCCCATGTCTCCCATGCCTGTGCCGAGTGGGTCAGGCCCATCCTGACAGGGTGGGCAGTGTGACCTGGGCATCCTGCGGGCACATGCCGGGGCGATGGGGATGATCTGACCCTCTGCTGCCGTCTCTCGCTGTGCTCCCGGCAGGTGAACGGGTGGTGCTGGTGGTCCTGGGGAACGGAGAGCGAGTGGGAGATGGAACCCACTGTCCACCCAAACCGGGAGAGGAGGTGTGGGTGTCAGGGACATGGTGGCTGGGCTGGTGATGATGAAATCAGCAGCATGGCCAGCAGCACAGGGAGCTGAGGCTGGTGAGATCACACTGGTGCGGCCCCATCCCCTGCGCTGCGCCCCAGCCTCTCCCCATGCACAAGCTCCTCGGGGAATATTTCTTCTCACCTCGCTGGCTCCTTGCCCCCTCCC